TTGAGTTCTTAAGGTATTATTTGTATATATTCCTGCAGAGTGTTTGATTTTAATCAGGAGTTTGCAATGCAGTGAAGAAATAAAATATAATATATAATAATATATATAATATAATAATACAATAATAATATAATAATATATAATAATATATAATAATATATAATAATATATGATATTATTGATCAGCACTCTTCTTCCTGTGTCTCTCTGGGCCTCTTCCTCTCTCTTTCATTATCCCTACGGTCGCCATGTCCCTTACTCACCCTCTAGAGAAACCGCTTACGCTCTATCTCTCTCTGCCTAACTCTAGATTCTCTATTTCTCTCCCGCTCTCATATTCTCTCTTCTCTTGCCTCGCAGCCTATAAATAGCGGGCTCTGCCGCCTTGCGCACCTCATTCAGTCCGTGGCGTCTCCAGTGTCAACTTCTAGAGTGATAGTGATAGTGCCTCCCCTTCGACCCGAAACATATGACGTGGCCCATGGAGAACATTTGGATGATCAGAAAGTCACCGGAAATGTTAATCTACTCTAGAAGCAATTAAGCAATGATGACAACGGATAGCCACGTGTCCTCCATTGGGGTAAGTCTTTACCATGATTATTATATCATTGTTATATCAGTATATAGATGCTATAAGAGGGATCAGACCTCAGTCTTTAATCAGCTAACTAGCTCTGCATTTCACTTCTAATAGCTACCTTTCCTTCTTTGTTTCTAAATATATTCAATGCAAGTTCTCTTTCTATATCTTAATCTAATTCTCTGACATATATATGTCTAGATATATATTTAATTGACTCTATATTTATTTAAATGCAAATAGAAAATGACAAACAGCCACGGGGAAAAACACAACATGTTAGTTTTTTCCATAACATGTTGCTCTGTTGTATTGTTTATTTGTTTTTTGTTACTTTTTGTTTGTTGTATTTCATGTCCCTTTGCATAGCTTGTGATTACAACATTTTTCATGGCATGAACTTTGTATACTTGTTCTATACTTGCATATATTCATGTCCCTTATAGCCCTGTTCGTGTACATGGCTCACGTGTAGCGTCATTTGTTTGCCAGTTGACCAGTTGTCCTGTTGTCCCATTGTCCTGTCCTGTTGCCCATTTTTCCCCCATTTCCCCACATTTCCCCACACTTCTCTTAGCTTTTCCTCCTCAGCTTTTTTCTCCTATTTCGTTGCTGCCCCGCAGCGGCTTGTTGGCCACTTTTGTTTGCTCGTCGTAACTTTAGTGCTGTGTCAATTTCAGGCCACGACATTGCGACACTTTCTTCTACTTCTGGCCTGGACGGAGGTCGGAGGTTACCAAATGGGAACCCCTCCATTGTTATTGACTATTTATTTTTCATTTAGTTTATTGCGGATCAAGGCTCGTGGCCAGCCAAACAATGCTAGGAAAGCAAAAAAACAGCTATAAGGAGAAGTACAAAAATAATAATAATAATAGATAAAGAAATGGCAGAGACAGTGGCAAAAGTGTAGGACAAAAAATCGTACTAATGATTCGCGGCACCTGGCGTCGCCTTCATTAAAAACCCATCAATCAAGGGGGAAATCAATGTCTGGACAACAACAGATTTCGACCTGTCAAAGACACCACCAACGAGGATGATGATGATCTGCGGGTGGAGCAATTGGTAGCTAGAACTATCGAGGATATCGATAAAGTGCGAAAAGTTTACTATGAAATATGGATATTGTATCGATATATTGGTTAAATATGATATGATAAGAAGGAGTTAAATATACAATTTAAAAACCTGAAATATAACTATTTATGTTATCGATTGTGGTCGATAAATTGAATAATTATATCAATGTTTTAAAGATATTAATATTTTAAGGGTTTGCTTCATCTTAAAATCGATCAAGAGGAGAAAAATATACACTAAAAAAAAAAACAATTTAAGGAATCGATTGGGGGTTTCGATACTAATATCGATATTTTTGTGATACAAGTAAAAAAAAAAACTCTGTAAAGGTTTTCGTCTCACAAAAGACTTAAATGTTTTTTGTAATAATAATTAAAAAATATATATATATATTTCATAAGGTCTTTTAATATTTTCAAATATTTTATTAATCATTATTTTCACAGAAATTTAACATGAAAAGCTATCGATATATCCATGAATATCCCTGAATGTTATACGCAAAAATAATTCAATGGCAAGGACAAATTGATGGCAAATCGTCCTAATTGCCAGACACCATCATCACAATCTCCATCATCATCATAATCATCAAAATGATTCTTTATCATCATTATTCATTAGCCAATTGAGGCAAATGACCGAGGCACTCATTAAGTCTCTGTGATTGAGTCGCGTTTCGAGTGCTCCTAATCCGGCAACTTAAAGTTGGGCATTCCACGAGCAAAGTATCTCAATGCCAGACTCCGGATTACTTAATGTGAAGCACCAATTTACCATTTTCCCCATTCCCGGTAAACGATTGTCACGGCTTTCCCTTTAAGAGCCTTGCAATGTAATCTCTCTTTAAATTTCAATGTAAATTTCTCAAGAATTACGTTTATAAGTCTTTCATTTATATATTTCGTAAGTAATGCTATTAACCTGAAAGATTTCTTCTTATAAGTGCTTTGATTAAAGTTTATTTATAAGTTCAGGAAGAACCCTTTTGCCTGACAAAATTACCAAGAAATCCTTTCCAATTTAGATGTAATACATAAAGATATAATACCTTTAACATTTCCTTTTGCTTTTAGCAAATTTATACCTAAGCTTTATGCTTTTTTAGGGGACTTTTGCTTTGTCATTCCTCACAAAACTCACAGATCAAGTATACGCCACGTGAGCCAGCGAAACCGAATAACATCGAATTTTGCATTTGCAAATTTGTTGCTGTTGCCGCTGCTCCCCACAGCAACTTTTCCCTTTTTCTTTTCTTTTGAATGGGAAATGCAAATTTCCTGCCTAATAACATGCCAACTAGCAATCTGACCGAAAAGTCAAACAGAGAGAAAAAGAGGGAGGTACTTGCAGAAAAATTCAAAGTAATCGAAAATAAACATTTTATAGCAAATAGAAAGCATTTAAAATAATATTTCCTGTAGTTTTTCTGATTTAATTTTAAATGTAGTAAGAAATACACCCATTTTCTTGCCGTGTGGGCAACATGTTGTGGCATGTTGGGATGTGGGACACGGTCGACCCACTTTAGGAGCTTGTGTTCGCCATGGAGCCGCCTGTCGAGGCTGTCGCGCTCCGTTTGCTGCATAAATCATGCGCCAAAAGCACAAGTCCTGCCAGGATAAGGGGCAGATCCTAGAGGTGGGCAACTCCTAGAGGTGACTCCTAGAGGTGGGCGGTTCTGCCTGAGCTCTAGCAGTGGCTCAAATGAATTTGTAAACAGGTGCAAATTAGGTCAATATTTATGTCTGTGTGCGAGTCGTCGCCCCGTGTTTGTTTATGGCGACAGCTGCTCGGTGGAGAGCTGAGTCGTTATTGCCTGTTGCTCGCGATGTTCCCCACCTATAAATCTATATAACCATCCCACCATCCCACCATCCCGTCATCCATACATAAACATGAGGAGCAAAGACGATGGCGACAACGACGACGTCACTGACCCAAAATTCAAATGCTCATGCGGGCCAACAGGAAGTGATGGGCTGGAAACGGAAACCCAAAGGAACGCAGCTTTGAAATGCTTAGAGATTCTCTAACAGAAGAAAGGTAAGTTGACTATGAGACAACAAAAGAAATTTGAGGAAATAGATTCAATATTAAATGTTCTACTATCGATAAAGACCTTAAAGTTTCAGGGCTGTGTTCTTGATTGGATATAAATTAAATCCGATTACATCTGTTTGAATCTTTATATCGAATATTTACGTAACGATAAATATCGAAATGAATGTTTTAAACATCATTATATTAATTTAATACATATATTTCAGTCTAAGTACGCTATTAAGTTGATATACTGAAAAGGAAGTCGCTTTCTTGGTATGTATCTTGGTATCTAGATTGATAATGAAAATCTGTTCGCAAATGTTTATCAGAGAAATCGAATATTTACGATAAATATAAATAAACATCGATAATTATTTGAAATTAATGGCCTTAAATGAAAGCGAAAAGAAAGACTCTATAATAATTAGTAACTTTATAACCAGATTGGATATAAAAACCATGGTAAATAGTAAATATCTTGTAATAAAAGTTTATACAGATACTATAAATGTTTATCTGTATATAATACTATATATATAAGAATTTAATAAAACCTCAACATGCAGGGATAAAGTAATAAAATATTTAAATGTAAGTAAGTAAAGGCACATTAAAAAGTTTGAAACTTTAATGAGAAACTACTACAAATACAGATAAATCTATTAATTTAATATTTTATATAACATTTACTGGTTTGCTCTGCCTTAAGACAATAAAATCTTGAGCCCATTAATGATAAATTTTCAATATTTATTCCTCTAAATTTATGTTTTTTAAAAGTTATTAAGCTTTTCCATTTGGCATTTACTCATTATATTTATGGCCAATAATCTGGCGCTTTTAGTCAAGTTTATAAGTTTGTAGAGGAGACTTTAAACACACACACACACACACATATAGCCACCATTTCCACACACACACCTTACTCACCCCACTGACTAACAGCTTCTTGTATTAGAGTGTGTGTGTGGTTTTTTGCTTTTAATGTGTTTGAAGCTCTTAAGTCTTTTGATAAAATAAACTGAAAATCGATTTTAATTCAATAAAAATGGAAATGCTAACGCCCGCCTCCTTTGGCGAGAAAAGCCAGTGTCAAGGAACCACGCCCCCTTATGCGCCCCCCTGCTTATGGGTCATACTGAGAGAAAATATTATATTCGAAATGCACTTTGAACTAACTATATTTTGACATATTTATAAAATACCAAGCAAATATTTCCCAATTTTTTAAGCAATTAATTAAAATTATACATAATATATATTTTTTTCAGTGCATGTGTTAACTTACCTCAGACATTTTGCGTTGTTTTTGTTTCGTTTCGTTCGAGTTCAGCGGAATTCTTCAACTTTTGTTGATGTTTCCAGTATTTGTTCTTGTTTTAGTTGCTCTGATGCGTGTGTGTGCCTGTGTATGTGTGTGCGTGTGTGTGTGCGCCTGTGTGTATGAGTGGCTTCAGCCTTGGCCTTGGCCATGGGCCACTGTGGCGCCTGGTTGTTCATGCAACATCCTCCGATCGACGCGCTCCCACATGGCGTATGGGCGATTTTTGCCCACCAACTTGGCTCGAGTTCGTTGTTGTATTGTTGTTCTAGTTGTTGTTGTTATTGTTGCTATATTATGTTGTTGTTGTTGTTGTTGTGGTTGCTGTTGCATCATGAGTGCCTGCAACAAGTGGTTGCCGGGCATAGTAACAGCTGGCAGCAAATGCAGTGCCGCCGCCTCATGGCTGCCACATTGCTGCTGCTGCCCGCGACTGTCTCAAGTGTGCCTGCAAAATGGAGGTACAGAGAGAGAAAATTATGAGTTAATATGATGGAATTTTTAATCAAATTATATGGTTAAAAAATAACTAGAGTTTCTAGTATATATTTTAATTTTATACTCTTAAAGGGTATTATAATTTTAGTCTATATCTTGAAACTTAGTGAAGGAGTCATTTCCGACCCTATAAATCATATATATTCTTGATCAGCATCATCAGCAGAGTCGATCTAGCCATCTCAGGCAGAAAAGAAAATTTTTCAATTTTTTTCATAAAAATATAAGGGGTTACATCGTTCAATTTTTTTTTAAAAATTCGAAAATTTTTTACATTTTTAATAGAGTATGCAGATTCATTAACGTACTAAAAATAAACATGGGACAGCTTTCCGAATTAAAATTAACGCATTTTTGACTGAGTTGTGAGATTTTTAAACTTCGATTTGTCGCTTATTTTTCCGACTATATTTTCCCAATAGAATATCGAATTTCAAATCCTATATATATTAAAATAGTATCGATAAACACATCATCTATCGATACAATACCGACTTTCACACTTATATCGATGCAGTATTTAAATATCTATCAAGACCTTTGGGCTTTACTGTCATAAAACATGAAAATAAATCTCTATAACGTCAATGATTATTTCTGGCAGTGCAACCAGTGAGAACTTGAGTTAATCAATCAATAATCAGGCGATCAATCAGTCAAACAATCAGTCGAACTTGTTTCGAACCGATGAGGGGCATTGTGGAAGGGGTGTAGGGTTTTATTTATTTATTTTTTATTTTTTTCATTTCGAAATGACCTTAGTGACTGGCTGCTGAGTTCAAGAATCTTTTGGGTGATAAATTTCAAGTTTTGCTGCTTTCCGCTGCTGCATTTATCGTGTTTATCGATATCGCTTTGGCGGCTGTTTGTCTGGCAAGACAAAGATAGATATATACATATATAATTATATATATATATATATATAGAGAGAGAGAAAACTCGCTTGACTTTGATTTAATTTGTCGTCGTTTCTAATTAGCATCTTGTGCTAAAAGTCTCTGTCTCAGCCAGCACTTCTTAGCTCTGGCAAGTGCTTCTTATCCAATGTATCAAACTTGTTTGTCAGTTTTTATCATCGCTCAACGAAAACTTATTTTCCAAGCTATTTCCCAAACTTTGGCTCTGCGAAAACTTGCGAAAAATAATACAAAAAAAAAGAAAACATGAAAAGACAACGCCAAACTATTTCTTCGAGTATCTGATGTATGTGAGAGCCATTCGACTTGGCCAGATTGTCTGCCAAATAGTTTTCTGGAAAAACTCACTTTCCTTAAGTGTTTTTACTACACGAGAGTTTTCTTTAATTTATTTAACCTTAAATACTACTATAATATGGTAAAAATGTATTTTTAAGGGATATATTTTATCGTTTAGTTTGGGAAGCATATATTTACTTTGCCTCAAAGATTTATTTAACCTTAAATACTACTATTATATGGTAAAAATGTACTTTTAAGGGATATATTTCACACATTTACTTTTGGAATTATACATTTACTTTGTCTTAAAGAGGAAATAATGCCTAAGGCAGGATTTAATACTATTATTTCATTTCTAAATTGATTATATTTTTGTATATTATTATATTTATTATCAAATAGCTGCATATTTTTACTTTTTAACTAAATAAAGCTATGTTATTTCATTAAAAAACCTTTCCAGACATTTAACTAATTCAATTTCTTTAAATAAAAATTGATAAATCTATAAGAAAATTGCGTAAATCATATGCTTCAATTGGAACATTCAAATTTTCTGTCTAAAAAATATGGTCATGGCTCTATAAAAATTTAGATAATCAATTGCTGTTGCAAACAATTTATGGACATAACCATAAAAGCGGGGAGGGAATCCCCATGAAAAGTTGCGTAAAGTCCGCTTATCCTGGGTAAACCCCCCTGGTACTTCCCCCCATCTCTGAAACAGCGGGAATCCCCTTCAGCTGGCGAAGAATGGAGCAGGGAGATGGTAATCGTGGCGGGCACACATAATGCATAATAATGGACCCAATGATAATGACGATGTGCGCACGAATCCCGCTTGTTTGGCTGCTGCTTCCGCTCGTGGGAAAGCGTGGCGGGAAATGCGGGTGTGGAGAGGGGGAGAAGGGGGAGGTGGAGTGGTGAGGTGGGGGAAGGTCACAGCGGGGGGACCGGGTAATAATCATATAATGATACCACAAAACAAATTCCATTCAAGCACATAAATTGTATTGAGCCAATTCAGTGATGAAGTGTGACTTGAACTCAATCTTTGAGCTATTTTTGAAGTCACTTTTAGGCATTATAATAAGCTAGAAATTGGTTTTATATATAAATAATAGTCAAATACTATTAAATAAATATAAATCTATTTTTAAAAGCATTTTCAGGCATTATAATAAGCTAGAAATTGGTTTTATATATAAATAATAGTCAAATACTATTAAATAAATATAAATCTAATTGAAAATAGATTGTAAATTAAATAGGAACTGCTATAAGTATCTTTGAGTTTAATGTTTATATGGAACGAGAGGTTTGTAAAGAATATAGTACTTAATAAATTGAAATAAATGTTAAATTAAATTATTAGCATAAAAAAATAGGAAAAAAATCATTATTTTATTTATAAATAGCAAAGCAACATAAACAAGACGACTTGTGGGTTGAAATTTGTGATCTTTTAGTTATTTTAGACCTTATGTAGCACCTCATTTAAAAATATACAAATAAATAACACAAAATAAGATATAAAAGCAAATACTGCTTAATTACTTTAAATATTATTATGGCTGCTTGCTAAAAGCTAATTAAGGAAACAAAAACTGTTAAGAATTTACGTTTAAATAGGCAAATATCTAATACATAAGATATATATTCTATATAGATAAACTTCTAGTTTGTTTTTTTATTGCAAACTATTTGCCATTAACTTGGCATCAAATGTTTATTCCACGAATAAATTTCTTTTAAAACTTGATGGATTTTTTCGGGGCTTTGATGTTTTAACTTTTTTCGCATGAATTTTGTTCTTGTTTTTAATGATTTGTTTACCTTTACTTCCTAGTTAAACCGAAAGCATAACATAAACTACAGAAAACAGCGAAAAGTTCAGCATAGAAAATGAAATTACAGGGTATTGCAAAAATAAAATCAAAAATATTCGAAGGCAATTCTCGGGTTGACATAAATAATATTTTGAGGAATTTCAGCAATTCCAGGAATGGCCTGCACTCTGACCAGCTTTAGATTCGAATGTCACAAATGAGTATCTTAACCCCACCAAGGGCCCCTCACCCCCCGCCTTCCGATCATTTGTATTTTCTTAACTTTTCATTTCTTTATATTTTTTTTTTATTTTCATTTCATTTTACGCCAAGTGCGACGAAATTTAAAACCAACAACGTCCAACAACGAAATTGTAGCCGAAACAAGAGTGCCAGAAAGACAAATATAGAGAGACGGACGGACGGACGGACGGACGGACGGACAGAGAGACAGACACCCGAAAGGCATACAAGAAAAACTCGGAAAAGCTCACAAAAAAGTCTTTGGTGGCAAGGAAAAACCCGAAAAGGGAAAGTGTTCTTTTTGTGGGGCGAGAAAAACTTGTGAAATCCCTTGCTTTAGCGGTCGCGAAAAATATCTTTGAAATGCCCGAGGTTTAGCCAAGGAGTTAAGCCTCATCTTGGTCCACGTTTTGTTTAAGTTTCTTGACTTTGTGTGCAAATAATATATAATGTATAAATTATTTCATTTAAGCCAGAACTTGCTGTAATTGTTAATTTACTTTTACAACATTGGGAAAAGTATATATAAAATATAGATCATTTGTTTTAAACTTTTTTACTAGAACCTACTATAATTTCATTATATTAATAATGTGAAAGAGGTAATTATTCATGTACTTTTTAATAAGTTAATTTTAAAAACATTAGTCAAGTATATATATTAGCGGAAATTATTTGTAGAAAGAAATATGAAATATAGGGGCACTTAATGCTGGTTTATGAGCTAAAGTTCGGACAGATATGGCTTTTGTTACGCCTCCAAAGGGGAGCACCTGTCAAAGTCTCAGTTTCATATTTGTTTAAATATTTTATTTATGTTTTTTTATGAATATTTTTTATTTATAGTTCCTAAAATCACTTTGGGATAAACATATCGAAAGGGAGAAGTTCTGACTGATACATAGAAAGAATTGTAATCGTTTAGATTGTAAAACTATTCGATATATGCCAAATTTAAAATTCGATATATGCCAAATTTAAATTCGATATATAACGAATTTAAAATTCGATATATGCCAATTTAAAATTCGATATATATCGAATTTATAGTTCTATATTACAACAAAATTATAATATGATATATAACGAATTTATAGTTCGATATTGCAACAGAATTATAAATTGATATATAATGTATGTATAGTTTAAAATATAATGAATTTACAAACAATAAATAAGACATTTATAGCTCTGGATATAAAACACTTTTACAGTTTATATATATCAAAGTTTTAGCTCAATCTAAAGCGAATTTATAGTTTAATAAACTTTAAGTTTGATGCATTGATATTAAAAATATCATTATCAAACTATTATTATATTATTTTATTATTATATGCAACTAATATTTATTTTGTATATTTAGAAAGTTATTATTAATGCTATATTAATTTATTCATATTATTTATTTTAATACTAATTCATTCATTTATTATTTTATTTATTTATTATTATTATTTTTTTATTTTTCTTTTTTATATTAAATAATATATTATATTAATATTCCTACAAACCTAATACCTATTAATCTATATTTTATTTACTTAAGAGTTCTTTTTACTGCTATATTAAATCATTTATATTATTTATTTTAGTATTAATTCATTCATTTACTATTTTATTTATTATTATTTTTATTTTATTCATTATCTCTTATATTTCTCCCATCTCTAGTGCGT